TCCCAAAAGAATTACATTTAAACTTAGGAGCGGAATAAACAAAAAATATATTATACATGATCGTAAATAAATTTCCTAGTTTAGCACAAAAATAAACTATAACTCTAGACTTCCACCTCGGGATCCACGAACCCGTCTAGTGGAGCTTCCAAATGTGTCGGTTCCTCAATTCCCAAATCTTCCTCTAGTACATAATCTGAAAAATATAGTTTATAAGGGGTGAGCACTAAGCTCTGTAGTAACATTCCTCCCCAACTCGAACAAGGTTTAGAAAAACATATAAAAATGGTCGATCACCTTTCATAAATAGCATATATGAATTTCGAAAGAAAACCAGGACATTTAAACAGATCTCAAGTTTAAGCAACAAATAATTTAATGCATAAGTGAAACCAATATACAACTAATAATTCATTCCACCATAAACCGTTCCTCCCAAGTTCTTGCGGAATCCCAAACTTTCCAAAATTCTTGTAGAAACTATATCTGGTACAATGAACAATAACCCACCACTGTATTCGTATCTCTGGTATGAAGTCAGACCTCGCATGGATACCATCGAAAATATATCGCCCATGTACAATCCACACAAATCCTCGCAAAGATATCCAACTTTTAGGAAGGGCGTATACCAACACCAGTGACGTATCCAACCAAAGAGTAATATACTAACCCTTTTTTCATGGTAACCCGTAAGCGATAATGGTTTAGTCCTCGCAAGACACTAACCTCATTACGAGTGGTAAGAAAAGTTTTAACCCACACGGAATAAGAAGACGTCTACACACTCCAACATACCTGGTCAATAGTAGCCCATATTTATCTAACAACCACACATGAGATACAATACCAACAATTTCCTCAAATAACAACAATTCCATAAATCTCCAATTTCACATGTAGTGTTTCAATAAAACAATTGAAGAAAATGCAAGAGATCATCATCAATATCATATTTTTTTACTTAACACCAAGCACTAAAGTTTCAAAGTCAAGAATAAAAGAAAAATCAAAAGAAAGTCCATCTCTTTTGAAAACTAGGGTTTTATATCAAGAAAATGAGATTTCATGGGTATTCAACCCTAACTTGTGTAAAACATGGTAATAATTGCAAAAAGACTAAGAAAACATGATTTCATAGCAAATATATAAGATTTAGAGTTAAAGAATACATATATATTAGCTCTAGCATCAATGGACAAGAATGGAAGAAAACCCCCTACCTTGCTTCCTTAGTTTTGAGCGAAGAAGATGAAGATTTGATCTTTCCAAAACTTGAATCACCCTTTAATCATTTGTTTTTCCCTTTCTTTCTTCCTCTCTAAGCTTTTCTAGGGTTAGAAGTGTTGAAATGGGACTTAAGGAGGTGTCCTTAGGTATTTATAGTGGAAGAAATGGTGTCTTGTGCGTAATTTTTAGAGTCAGAATTCGTAACTGACGTTCGAACGTCCTTAACTCCCAGTACTTTGGTTTTTCCATCAGACAAAAAGTATTGGAACGCACTGTCGTTCGAACATCATTAACGTTCGAACGTCATTCCTGTTTCTGCTGGAACTTCCAGTGCAGTTTTGGCCTATTTAGAGGTTAATTTGAAAAATTTACATGAAATAAACTTTTGTAGCTCTAGAAGTCTACTATCTACTGTCAAAATTTCAGATCAAACGAACATCAGGATAAAGAGTTATGATCCAATTATTAGGAAGTGTCCAAAATCTTTTTTACCCAAATTCTCTCTCAAGTGTGCTTTCATTCCGGAGTACTTCCAAAATTCTACAACATACCCTATTACCTCAACTAGCCTTTTTATTTCTACTCTTATAATATACATAGTTCATGCATACATCATTACATATATTAGCATTTTAAAAACATAATTACGTGGTTATATCAAGATACGAATGTGGGGATTTACACATATCAAAGACATACAAAATTCAGTTTCAATCTCACAGCAGAACTTATTACTATATTATTCAATTTCTACTATATATAATGAATTAAAGCCCAAGCGTTTGAAGTGAGGAATGATTCCAAGTTTCAATTTAATCCCTGCAAAATGTTAAATGTCATGTTCAAACCGAGCACTTGAGAAGGTAAGAGGACTGAAGTTCTTACCCTTAATGTAAGACAAGGTCGCTCCGATGTATCACTGTCGAGCACTTACTGAATGGGCACACAAACACAAGGAGAGAGAAGTCTTCTTCTTTTTTTTGTTTTTTCCCAGAACTTGCTCGTGCAGATTTTGAATTCTATAACTACGATTGGAAACATGAACTTTGATTAGAGGATGAATTTAAAATTGATGAATACGCAATAAAAATGTAGAAATCCATTACAATGCAGTTGAAACAACCAAAAAAAAGGGAACTCATGAACAACCTAGCAAAAAATGATACTTCACACAAACCAGTGATCACCCTGACTATCCCAACCAATTTCTCCAACAGTTCCTAACAACAATGAAAGCCAAAAATCTAATACGACTCGAATACTATACCCACACAAATAAGAACCCACATGAAATGATTCCCCTTGGAGAAAAACAACGTATGAAACCAAACAAATTCCTAAATTTCACATTACAAGCAGTTGTATTATTAAAATGATCAACCAAGGCAAAAAGATACTCTTTATATCTATCTCCTCAAAGCTTCATATTGCTAGAATTTTCATAGCATGTAACACAACCATAACATCAATTGGGAAAATCAACTTCTTAATCACCCTGTTCTATATGTGTAAAAATGAGGAAACAAAACACTTGCTCTAAGAGGTTATTAGCAAAGTTTAATCAACCAATCTAAATATGATCAGACAAATTATGAGAAAGTGTGGAAGGGTAACCAATGATGCAATCATAATAGGTCGGCTGGCCGTGATTTATTTGATCTCAAGAAAACAAAAAAGTTCTATAGTTGTTACCCTTGATGATTAGTTGCTGACTTGATAAGGGCCATCCTATTGGCATCCATTAGAACTGGAGATGTCTCTGAATCCATTGAATGAGGATGTTTCATATGCTCCTCGTACATTTTCATGGCCAATACACTGGCTGATGGCTGCCCCATCATTCCTTCAGAGTTCATAGCATTCATAGGACCACCAAGTGAAGGATGATTAGGATCCTTTTTTGCAACTGAGTATTGCGTTGCTGCATAAGTTGCAATTGCTGCATTTGCAGCTGTTGTTGATGCTCCCTTGCATTCACATGTTGTGTCTGATAGTAAATTATAAAACCAAAAAGAAAGTTGCCATAGATTAACTTCATCTCACTAAGAAAGGAAGGGGAAGGGGGGGAGAGAAGTCCTCCTATAAGACACTAATCCACGAATAGCCCAAAAAATCTGAAGCTTAGAGGGACCTCTATGTAAGCTGCAGTAGCCTCAAAATGTTTCTCATTTGTCCTAGCAGTGAAGATGTCCCAAAAGACGGACTACCAATCAAAGAGAAATCCGCCAGGTGCATCAATAGATGAAAATTCAAACTAAAGGTTTTGACGGAATGTATTAAACCACAAAAAAGGCAAAACATTCAAGAAAACTATAACATTCAAAAGATGAGTTCAAAAATATTCATTGCTTCATAAAAGTTTGTAATACAAAAATTTAAACCTTGCCAACTGCAAGTTTAAAACCAAAATAGTAGCAATATCCTGCTTCTTAACATATGTAAAGCCATTAAACAGAGGCAAAACAAATCATGCTCACACAGGAGTAAAATGGAATCAAATGAAGGGGGAAAAAAGGTTTTTTTTGTCAACTAATAAGGAATGCTAGTAAGGGTAAAAATCAAGTTCTTTAGCCCATAAAATGCTCATCATTTTATATATGGAGTGAGATACAAAAGTTTACCACAAATGTTTCTTATTCCAAATTTGAGAGTTTTAATGAATGCAATACCTCCATAGTGCAACAGTAGGTATGCAACTGCAACCTATAGATTTCTGTGGTCAATTCCTCTATAATATGAAGGGGACTATAAAATTCCTCATATTGCTACCATAATCTTCATAATTTTCAAAAGGTCCCAAAGTCAAATTACATGGAACTATGTTAAGATTGCATACCTATCATTTTCAACATGGAACTACTCAAAACAAATATTCACGGAAATCAGAAAAACATGATTCAAAAGATATAAGACCAGAAACATATAGGGAAAATACCATAATATAGTACAATAAGAATTTGCTAGCAACTGGCATGATCACATTGGAGCTTGGAGCAACAAGTGTCGTAGTACTATTTGCCAAATTTAAAGCCGTGGAACCATTTTTACCATGATCTTCAGCTGTTTTCCGAAGTTTCTACATTAATGGAGTGTAGGAAAAGCTAATGAACTATTAAAAATTAAAATCTAACCAGCTTCGTAAGTTGAGAACTATCAATGCAAAATAAATGAGACAAACGTCAAATAATGTAAGTTCAATGAAAGAAAATAAAAAAAATACCAAATATAACAACCAGTCTTAGTCTAGAAAGAAATGGAGATGCTTAAGTACCTCAGGAACCACTTGCAAAGGGATAACTTCTTATCTAAATCATAAAATGTGGTAGAGAAACAGTTTGCCCAAGGCCCAGTGGCGATTCTTCCAATCATGAGTTTTGTCGTTGGGGCACTCAAATCCAAGCAAGACCTTTATCTACAGTGGTCGTACCTAGTAACACTCGATGCTCCTACTCCTAATCAATGCCTTGGCTTCGGCTTCTAGAGCCATAGGGGGGCCTGGGGTAAGACTTCTCTCTATACCTTCGCTCACATGTCGAAATTGATCTGTCTCAGAGATCAACTCATATTAGTGAATATAAGGGTCTTTCTTGTCTGACAATCTTATCAATATCAGATAACAAGAAAGTGCACATAATTGCATACCTTGAGTAACGCCTTCACCTTGGGGATGGGGAATAATAATCTGGGCCTCGGGAGTAAGGTCGAGCATACTGTGGTGATCTAGAATAACAACGTGGGGACCACCTTCGGTCATATGATTGACCACTGACAATAACAGTATTCACAAATTACAAACCCCAAGCAAGATATTCTATGCGCACTTCAGAGTTGTTATTTCTGCAGAAGAGTACAAGAGAATATTGCTCTATCTGAATGTTTATGCAATTGAATAATGGTTTTGAATTATCAAATGAAATATATGTTATGCAAATTGCTATGGAAAAATAAACAAATAAAAACTAGGCACCAATAAGTTAACCTTACACGGCCTCTTGCCCTCATCTCAGAAGGCTTCTTTCGACTTTCCTCAGCAAATACAACAGACATCACTCATCCAGGAAGAATCTGACTATCCATCTGGTATTTGCCTTCAGTAGCATCAGTAGGCTCTACATATTGCATACAACCAAAGCCATGCGGCTCCCTGCACCAATAAGAACATTGGAATCACAAACAGAGTATAATAACTTGCATACATCCATAGCCACTTGCCCACGCATATACATAAACCAATTCTTCCAAATGGTCATCGCGAGTGTTGTCCTCATTCCAAAGGAAAAAGGAAGATCAAGATAATCACAAATATTCTGCTCGCACTCCATAAAAATTTAAATAAAGCAATTGCATGGCTGCTAACCTTGCATGAGCCATGGTTTTAATGTGAGTTGAAATTCTTCAAGACTTGAACTTCTTCACAATGTATTCATTCATACCCAACTTACTTCTATCTTCTTGTACATTTTGATCACCTTGAACTTCTACTCTTATTACTTGATTGGTGTCTTCAACACTTTCAATAGCAACAACCAAACTCCCATAAAATTTTTGTATATAATAAACAAAGATGCCCGCCACCATACAACCGGATAGGGGCGGAGCCAGACATGTTTTGTAGTGGGGGCAACCTAAACCAAATGAATATTCAAACTCCAAATGTTCACAAAAATATAATAACATTAAAATGACGTCAATTAAAGACACTACTCGTATATACGAGCCATATACAAAAGGAGCTAACAAAAAAGGCCTACTATAAAGTTGTCGATAAGACCTAACAAGAAAAAAAAAATTAGCGCCCATATATCGAGTCTATACATGGAAAAATTCAAATTCTCAAACATCTAATAAATGTTCATAATTTTTCACCACAAGTTTTCATATTTTAAAAGCATTGAAGGATCATTTCATTATCAATGGAATTTGAAACTTCTTTCTGCATACGTGCAACCAAGCCCCAATAACACTTGAGAATTTAATAAAACACTTAAAAATAGCAAAGAATTTTTAACATGCAAAAGCAATCCTCAATAACCAAAGAATTTAAACATACATTCAATCCAAGCAGATCGAACTCCTTTATGTCCTCCTCAACCTTCAATTTCCAACAAATATTGCAATTACAATAATTTTTAAAAAAAGATCAATAAATTGCATATTGTAATCATAGTCACTCAGTTCAAATTTGAAAAATCTAAGTTCAATTGTCTACTATTAGGAAAAAAAATTAGATAACCAAGCTACCTAAAACACCAACTACCACCCAAAAAAATCAAAAAAATTGCAAAAGCTATCGAAATCGGATGTTGTCCTTGAGTATAGGCTCTAAATCTATTAAAGACCCCACTTGGAACAAAAAATACAAAACCTCCCTTTAGTCTTTCCAAAAAAATTAACTGGGGGCAACTTTCAAGCAATTCTAAGACTTTTGAAAATTATACCTATACCCCAAACATTTTTAAAATTCCTGCCCCCACTGTGGATTTGCCCCAACAATAGAATCGGGGTAAACATTTGACAATAAATACCACATTCAGATCTAAAGTAGTAGGTAAGTGGAAAAAATCTTAATATAAGAAATAGGCATCCAATAGAATTATAGACATCAAAGGTCATGCTCACCCAGTATAGTAATCTCGCGGCAAGTAAACATCTTTGACAGGACCAAATTCCCCAAATGGCCCATGGAGATCTTCGGTCCTACAAGCAAATATAAACTCCAAAAATTTTGGTAAGATTATATTATTTACCAGGGAAAAATCATGAATGAGTAACTACATTATGTCTGGAGGCAAAAGCAATAACACTTTTCCTGGTAAGTAGGATCTTATAAGCAAAATAGAGAATTCAAGGGATATACCATAAGCAATTACACAGCATCACCTTTCATACAACCAAAAGAAAATAACATTCATCATTTCAACACGCAACACCAATATGGTTCGTCATAGGCCTATCTTTTAAAATTCGAACTGAATCTACATAGATAGCCCTCGCTCACAAGGAGGAAATTAACATTTAGAGAAACGAGAAAGAGCACACCCGTGCTGCCACCCCATGCGGAAAAAAAAATAGAGAGAGAGTATCTAAGTCTCTTCAAATACTACTATAGGAAAAATTTCCATTTCATTGGACCAAGATCTTTTGTTAATCTTTATACAACCCTATAAAATCTAGGGTTAATCTCATTTTGCACCCCGAAAGATCGTTCGAATCTCAATTTGCACCCTCAAAGATAGAAATTTGTATCAATGTGCACCCCCAAAGATCAAAAATCTCAATTTGCACCCTCAAAGATAGAAATTTATATCAATGTGTACCCCAAAGATAAAAAATCTCAATTTGCACCCTCAAAGATAGAAATTTATATCAATGTGCACCTAAAATTAAATTGATAAATTATACCTAAATCCCCTCATATTTGTCAGTTAATCATTTAGACCTCTTCACATTTAGAATATTACTCCTACATCTTATGACATTTGTGCACGTATAACACGTAACCCATTTTCATTGATATCTATTAATATAACCGTTAAAAAATATAATTTTATCCTAATAAAAAATTATAATTTCATATTACCCTTTATTTTATAGGTTCAATATACTATAAAGTTCAAAATCTAGTTTACCATTTGAATGTCTAATAAAATATAAATATTTATATAATATTTTTCATATTACCTTTTATATAAATATCTACATTTTATTAGACATTCAAATGGTAAGCTTGATTTTCAACTTCAAAGTATATCAAATCCACAAAATAAAAGGTAATATAAAATTATAATTGTATATTAGGATAAAATCATATTTTTTAACGATTATATTAATATATATCAACGAAAAGTGGTTATGTGTTACACATGCATAAACGTCATGAGATGTAAGGGGAATATTCTAAATGTGAAAGAGTTCAAATGATTAAGTGACAAACATGAGGGGATCAAGGTATAATTTATTAATTTAATTTTAGGTGCACATTGATACAAATTTCTATCTTTGAAGGTGCAAATTGAGATTTTTTATCTTTGGGGATGCACATTGATACAAATTTCTATCTTTGAGGGTGCAAATTGAGATTTTTTATCTTTGTGCACATTGATACAAATTTCTATCTTTGAGAGTGTAAATTGAGATTTTTTATCTTTGAGGGTGGAAATTGAGATTCGAACAATCTTTCGGGGTGCAAAATGAGATTAACCCTAAAATCTAATAACCGAGTAAATATAATCTCACCCAACAAAGTAATAAAAAGACCAAAATTTTTTTTCCTTTTCTGAACAGAAGACCCAAATTCCATTCCTATGAACCTTAAAATTCCAATTACATGAAAAAAGAGATCCTCTCTTTATGCATTCCACAACAAGTAAATCTTCAAGATTTATACCTATGGTGGGGACAATAAAAAAAACTAATAAGAAACCTTAATAATTGCCTCCATTGCTGTTAATATTGGGGTGAAAAACCTTTGTCCTGAAAACAACCTGTAAAAACCAATGCCAATGCCAAGTTCCATTACTATTAATATTATGGAGATGTGTTTAGCCACAACCAAAGAATTAAAAGAAAGAGAGAATGGATGCCTAATTGAAATCTATATTGGGTAAGAGATTTTTGTAACTGAATACATATAATTAAATAAATTTGGGGAAAGAGAGACTGAGAGGGGGACGGTGAAGGGGGCAATGTGCTCTTCTCTGATCTGTGAAAACGATGGGGAGAAAAGAGAGACAGAGGGGAAGATGAAGAGAATGGGCCATAAATTTGCAAGGGTTAGAGAGAGAGAAAAGGAGAGAGTGTAATGGCTGTAAATGGTAGGTCTGTTAATTTGAGAGAGCAAATAGGGAGAGGAAGAGAGAGAAGAAGGAGAAAAGTAGGAATATAGGGAGACGTTAACCGTTAGGGAGATTAATAGGAAGGAATTAAATGGAGGACATAGATGACATCGTTGTAACGTTAGAGGATAAAATTGAAAAAAAAATGTTTTTCACATATTCCGATATTTTAAAGTAGTATAGATATATTATAACTTTGCAGTCTTATTATTAAAATCAATTGTCTATCATGTAAAAGGTATGCATAATAATTTTATATTTGTATAAATTAAATTTAAGGTCATTTTTTAATTACTTTGTTTACAATGCACAAAATAGCTCTGAAAAATAGAGTAAGTAGAAATAGTGCATTTAAATCGTTAAGCCCAAAATAGTACAGTTAAATACTTAAGCCCGATTATCTAACCAAAGTGGATTGTTAGACAATCACAACCAAAAATAAATAATTAAAACTTAGCTTCACCGTTCGAATAAATTAAGAAATAATTAATGTTGACTTTGAGAGTTGATTTCGCTTTGGCATGAGCAATGTCATAAGACTTAATTCATTATAATCACTAGATAAATTGTTAATTTTAAGGTTAGATCAATGAAATTCATTTTAAATTCAACAAGTGTACGTAGTTAATTAAGTCCCTAAATTAAATTTAAATTACATTTTTTAAACAATATTAGAAACTAAAAAATCCAAATGACAACTAAATATATATACATGTCCTGGTTGCATTACAACAAAAAATATTTTTTCCGAAAAATTAAAAAAGTTGTAATGTTGTTAATTCTAATTTTGATTTTCTTTTGGAAGAAAATGTGACTTCCAATGTGAGTCAAAATCGTTGTTCACTCCTAGTTTAAGTAACTAGTTAACGACGTAAGCAGATGACTTCTGCAATGCTTGCTTCTGGAATTTGATTAGTGACTTCCCTTCAACACGTTACACTGAACTGGAATGGAGTAACCGAATAACGGTTCGAGATGACTCAGTCTTTTTTTTTTGGTACTGAATGACTTGGTCTTTCAAACCGTGGTTTTTAGTGGTTAACTTAATGAAACCCACTCCAAAACCTAAATAATTAAACTAGCCCATATTAAAAGTATACACAAAATGACAGATTTTTACTCATCATTATGACGCTAATTGGATCATAAGAAAATCGAATATTGGTATATAGATTTAAATTAATCAAATATGATGTGACAACCTCTTATTCGAATAATAATCGGTCAAAAATAATAATATACATTAGACAAGACACATTTCGTATAAAAAATAATGATGAGTCATGACCTCATTGGTCTCTCAGGCTGGAAGTCTACGAGACTTCTCTCAACCAACAGATTGACATGGGCAATTTAAATGAAAATTCCTAAGAACCAGAAAGCGTAATTATTGAAAGTAATAATGTTATTTAGATCTAAAAATTTAATTTAGTTTATTAATCTAATGATGTGGTTGCACTATAACTCTTGAATTGATATTAAACTTCAATGTTTGATGGGAACCATAGTCAATCAAAAGGTCATAATTAATTAGGCTAATAAATTAGATTACAATAGCATTGAAATAAGAGCAGTGAATTTGAAGAGGCATGAGTCACCACTATGGTTTACAATCCCACTGCAATTCTTATAAATACAAGTACCAAAATCAAATTATAAATTCCAGAATCAGCATTATAGCAAGAGTACCTGATGATACTCAGAATGATTCCTGAGCTGGAGCTCGGGAACGGAGGTCAGAGCTATGCAGAGCTCAGAAAACCAGAGTTAGAGCTCCCCTCAAAGCAAGATAATAAGCTGAAGTAGGGAGGAAACAACTGGATACTACAAATAACTCGAAAGGCGGTTTGAAATAACACTCAAGACACAAAATCCTTAACCAACCAAGATACTCTCCTAAGACTAAGGAGAATTCCATGGATGACAAGGATCACGGATCGGATCCCATATATTAAGGGATACCCCTATAAATACTATGTAAAGTCCCCAACAGAGGGGCAAGAACCCTAGTATCACATCGTATATTCTGTAACCCTTTTTGATATAGTAAATAGTGAAGGAGCAAGAATCTCCGTTGAAGAGTAGATTAACCGAGCTCTTGAGCCGATGAACCACTATATTTCTACTGTGTTAATTCCCCACCTCCCCAACAATTCTCAATATCACTTCCTCGAGCCTAGTAGCTCAGGTCCCAATAATTTCAAGATTGTTTCTTTCATTTACTCGCCATCAGTTTGGCGCCGTCTATGGGAACGATTGTTTCTATTATAAACAAACTAATTTTTCAGTGACTGATGGTATCAACGCGAAACATGAACCGAAGTCAGACAAATCCACCACGGGTGCAAGATCAACAAGAAGCTACTGATAGCAGACAACCTGAGAATGTCCAAGAGACCAATCCACCCGTGGGGGGTCTCCCCATAAATAACAAGATAGAGGCCCTTCACCTTGTCAATCAACGTTTGCTGAAACAAAACGAAGAACTTTTAAAGCTCTTACAACGCCCACAGGAGGCACGACAGGCTCAAGAAGGCTAGAACAACCTCCCACCTAGGGAACAATCACACCTCGACCCCCTCAGAGAAGTTAACGAAGAAGGGGAAAACAGCCAAATCATGGGGCCAGAACCTCACGTACCTCCTAGGAATGGCCACAACGACGAAGGGCAGAATCAAAACGAAGAAGGTGAGAGAAACGATTTTTTTCCCTATCAACAAGAAAGGAGAGAACAATACTGGAAGCAGCACTTCCAAGGTATCTAGCAAGAGCTCAGCCACATGAAAGAAGTCGTGAGAGGCAAGGCTCCAGTTACGATGGACGCCTTGGTACAACAGACTGAATCTCCGTTCACCACTGGCGTGCTGCATTTTTCCCTCCCTCTGAAATTCAGAGTACCCCAGATAGAGGCTTTTGATGGAACAAAAGATCCCGTAGATCCCCTCAACACTTACAAGAACCAGATGGAGTTGCATGGATACCAGGATCCAGTGCGTTGCAGAGCCTTTGCCATCACGCTGAAAGGCTCAGCCTTAGCATGGTTCAATAAGCTCCCCCCAGCCTCGTTATCCTACTTTAAGGAGCTTTCCATATCCTTTGTGTCTCACTTTATAGAAGCTCGGACGTACAGAAAGCCGAGTTACCACTTGTTAAATGTGAAACAGGGATCCCACAAGAGCCTTAGATCCTATGTTCAGAGGTTCAACTCAGAATCGCTAAAAGTGGACGTCCCAGACGAGAAATTTGCCATTACTGCATTTATAGCTGGCTTGGGTGTCCAATCTAAAGACCTGATGTTCTCCATCTCGAAAAATCTCCAGGCCAGCATGACCGAAGTACTGGCCAAGGTAGAAAAGTACATAAACGGCGAAGAAGCTCTACTCTCAAAAGTGGGGAGCTCATTCATACAAAAAGACAAAGGGAAAGAGGAGAAAAAGAAGGACCGAAGTCCCAGGAGAGAGAGGACGAGATAGGTCCCCAAGAAGAGACAGAGATCGCTCTCCAAAAAGAAGGGGGGACGTCAGAGATCGCCTGGGACCACCTCATCCGGAGCTGCAGCCGAGGTACGCACCTCGGCAGATTCCCCCACTCACCACAACAATATCGTAAATCTTGTATGAATTACAAAATAAAAAATTCCTAAGGTGGCCACCTCGGATGAAAGCGGACCCGGCAAAATGGGACCCCTCAAAGTACTACGAGTACCACAGGGACCATGGTCATCACACTGATGACTGCATTCAGTTGAAGAAAGAGATAGAGTTCCTGGTCCAACGAGGATAGTTGCGTCGTTACATTGCCCAGGAGAATCAGAATCGAGCTCCACCACCTCCACCACTTCAGTAGCAGGCTCCTGTGCAACACCAACAACCCCTAGGAGAGATCAGGGTAATATCAGAGGGTTTTGCAGGTGGCGGGGAATCTAGTTCAGCCAGGAAAGCCCACTTATACAAAATCAGAGCTGGTGAGGCTTTGGAGGTGTACGTTGTGTATCAAAAGCACCACGACTGAGCTCAGACATCACATTCTCAGATGCAGACTTGGAAGGATACCAACACCCCCATGACGACCCGCTAGTGGTAAGGACTATTGTGGCTAATAGAACTGTTCACCGGGTTTTGATAGATAACGGAAGCTCAGCAGATATCATATTTGTTTCCGCATTTGACAAAATGAGCATAGGAAGGGAAAAGCTGAAGCCCGTGAATACTCACCTGTTAGGATTTGCAGGAGAACAGGTGTTGCCGCTAGGCTCACTCCAGCTTGTGCTCACTATAGGAGACCCCCTGCCAGGCAACCACTACAATAAGATTCCTAGTGGTTGATGCCCCCTCGACATACAACATGCTACTCGGGAGACCTTTACTCAATGCAATGAAGGCCATCCCCTCAGCCTATTATCTGGTCATGAAATTCCCTACGGAAAACGAAGTTGGAGTGGTCCGAGGAGATCAACGGGTTGCAAGGGAATGTTACTTGACTTCGATGAAGCAGAAAGAAGTTGAAAACATACGACTAGATGAGCTAGATATGAGGGACGAACTGGGCACCAAGCCAACGCCATCGGAAGAGCTGGAGCCAGTTCAGCTTGATGAAGAGCCAGAACATCTCGTCTACATTGGGACTAAACTGAGCAGAGAGGTTAAGGACCTTCCCATCCTGTTCTTGAAGGAGAATACGGGGGTGTTCACTTAGAAACAAGAAGACATGGATGGCATTGACCCCTCGGTTATCATTCAGAAGCGAAGGAGTTTTGCCTAACAAAAGGTGGAGAAGTGCACGTGACTCACAAGACAGCACATCCTTTCAGTATGTGGGATATAGAGAAGTTAGCGAGGAGGTTGGGTTGCACTTGGTTGAATAAGTATACTTCACCACACGGATTACTCGGGTTATGAAAATAAAAGAGGAGATGGGTATAGAAGCAATGATACCTTCCCTGTTGGAGAATGCAGTACATTCAAATTTTATAATCGATGATGTCCAACTATCTCTCTTTGGCTTAATTAGATATCCTAATCAAGATCTCTTTAAGTGATCATCAGTATTAGAGATGATTTCACATTATGAGCTTTAAAAAATGGTAAGGGACTCAAAACACAAAACGATATTAGAAACAAGAAATTTCAGGTTAATCATGGATCTTATGCACTAGATCGAGTAATTCTACTTAAACTTAAAATGTAAAATTAATCAGTAATTGTTATTGATTTAACTGAGGGTCTCAATATTTATTGAAACCCACTACATATTTAATAATTGTGATTCTTGAAGTCAAAAAATTAAGTAAGCATTTTAAGTCCAAATTGCATTTTTCCTAATAGATCACACCCTGTGTATGAGGTGAGGGGATCACTTATAAATAATGGGTTCCACTTGCTTTAATGATAGATAATTTAACAATGAGTAAAATTGAGCAAAAGTATAATGAAAAGTATCTTAATCCCATGGTATTGATGGCAACTCCGTTTTACCTGAAATAAAATCTATATCGCAACGTAGATCAAGGCAGTTGTTTACTCTCTTTTCCCTCCACTTCAGGGAATTAGTTGTGTTACCACCCAATAATATAAGTAGACAAGCGAATCCTACAAAGTGTAATAATACCCTATCTATATAAGATAATAACTACTTATGCAATAAAATGAAGTTCATTTTGACCACTTATTGTCTGTCATTACATAGTGCCACCACGTATCAATGGTGACTTAATGTCGCCACAACACCATGACTTTTGAATAGTCACTGATGTAGTTGAACTTGGGAAGTAGGTGATCCCCCTTGTGGAATCTTTAGTGAGTCCCTTTAACACGTTATGCCGGAGGGGAATGAATAAGGACTGCTATTAATTTGATCTTTGAAATTACGGTTTCTGGTGGTACAGAAGATTAAGGACAATGAGTAAGAGGAGGAGGAGGAGGAGGAACAGAAGGGGGAGGAAGAGCAGAAGGAGTAGGATGGAGGGGAAAGAGTGATGATAAGGAAGAAGACAATGAGAAGGAGAAAGGGAAAAATGAAAAGAGGGAGGAAAAGAATGAAGGAGGAAACAACCCAAATAATAAGAAAGAGTAGAAGAAAAAGGAAAAGGAGGAGGAAATAAAAGAGAAGGAAATAGGGATAAAGAGCATAAAAGGAGAAAGAGAAGGAAAAGGAGGAAAATCAGGAGGAAGAAAAAGTGAGGAGAAAGAGAAGACGGAGGAGGAGAAGAATAAGGAGGACAATGAGAAGGAGGAAAAACGAGAGGAAGAATGAGGGAGGAAAAAAAGAAGGATAAGGAGAAAGAGAATGGAAGT